TTTTATCTCTTATTTACGAATTGTCATACTTAGGGTAGGGCGCCATGGAAAAATTTTAATTGAAAAAGGGCCCCGTGACTAGGAAAAGTTTGGGAACCACTGCCCTAGACTATTTTATACTGTCCTCCTTTTTTCGTAGTTAGAAACCGTTTATTAATTTACTTATCTCTTTTGGCACTAGGTATAATCCATGTTTATTCTACTAACTGTTTCTTTGCAATGTTGGATAAACCGAAAAGTTTAAGCGAAAATTTCCAAGCTTGATATATTTTTGAGGCTTATCTGTGTATAAAGCTTTGAAAATTGCACTTACTTCATTGGTGTCTCCGGAGTTATATTAATCATTCCGACTAACGAGTCCATCCTTTGAAAATGACTTATTGACTAAATGCATTAACTGTTCTTACGTTCTCTTTTCTGAATTGTATAGATAGATGCCACAATCCTTTTAGGCGCCTTTGATAAACTGTGTACTATTTTTTTTTACATAACTCTAAGCTCGAATTCACTAAGCTTTTCATTTCAAGCTGCTGGTGGCTTATTGCCAAAGGCTCACAGCTTTGTATCTTACTTGATGATTTAAACTTACATTTATCAATAATATTGTCATTATTCCTGTTCATACTCCATTCACTCATCTTTCCTAGGCCATACAGCATGGATGTCTACAGGTTGTCTGCTTCAGTCTCTGTCCACGACGCTCGAAAAGCCGGCGCAGAGGTTGTAAAGCAGGTGGCTAATCCATTGGTATCAGGTCTTCTCTATCCTCTCCTTCAAGCTCTAGACGAAGAACATCTTGGCGTTACTGCCCAATTTGGTGGAGTGGATCAGCGCAAGATTTTTATGCTGGCTGAGAAGGTTCGTCGCTCTATGAACCACATCTGAGCTGTGTTGGGTTCAGGTAATAATAGTCATAAGCCTAACGGGTGGAACTCAGTATTCAGGCGTTGTCTTGTCGGATTTACCTATGGCTACTACAAGATTTATCCTCCAAAGCTACAAGATAATTTCGTGGGCTATGCCTTATAAAAAATTACATGACCTCTGTTTCAACGCTATATCTGGAGAGATCCAAATTCGCCTTTTTTTTCTGTCATATATGTCTCATAGGCCTTTATGAATCGGATAGGTCTCAAAGTGATGAAATTTTAACGAAACTTAGGTGGTCACTATAAAATTAGACTCTAAGCTAAGGATAATACGAAATTATGTCTAAGAAAATCATTCTCTGTGGAAAGGTTGATGAGGTGCATTTTTTGCAGGGGCAGATTTTGTTTTGGATTCCAGACTTTTATCTTATGCTACTATATAGCGTAATCTCAGCAAGTTCTGCCAATTAATCCCAGTAGATTCATTATAATGCTCTTATGGTGTGACAACCAAATTGGTACGAAAGTTTTTAATCCCATATTATATCCGAATCACTTTTTTTTATTTTATCCAACTTGTAGCCACCCTGGCTATAAGGGTTTTGGGGGGAATTAACTGAGTTATGCTTAAAACTTACTTGTTACCAGGCTTGGCTTTATTTATTTGCCTTATTTCCTTTAAGCAATTATGGACTGAAGCATACTATTATTTGCTGAGTCGCCCTCATGATTCCATAATTAATGACCGTCTGCCGAAAACACGCTACCACTTCGGTTATCTGCTTCGTTGTGTTGCTTACTGGGAATGAAAACTTTCAAGTCTGATTTACAACTGGCTTGTTAGAGGAGAGATTATCTCATATAACTATTCCTTTTTATTCCATGTTTTGGCAAATTTTGTCAATCAAAACCAACCAGCTAATTTTATAAATATGAATAGTAACTGGGTTTCTATAAATCTCTTTAGCTAATATTGTTAGGGGGACTTCGGTTCGTATGAAAGTGAATGAAGAAGAGACTCGTTGGTCGATCTCACCAGATGAGGACGAATGAATGAATCTCGTTGTACTGCAGTCGTTTGGCTTTTATACGATATTCATTTTGATGCATTCCACAAGACTTCCTCCCTCATTTCGGGTAAAAACGTGCTGAGCTTTCGTCCATCATGTGATGGACATCATCAGAG